AAAAACTTAAAAAATTATAAGGATAAAAAATATTAAAAAACATAATTTTTTAATAAAAACGTTGYTTTTTTAACAAMRTGAAACTTTGTAAAAAAATATTTTCAAAAACATTGATACTTTTTGAAATAATGAGTGGTTCATGATAAAAAAATCACCCTGTATATAAGTAGACAAAACGTATTAAATATTTAAATAATGATTTGTATGAATCTGCAACTGTTATAGTGAACATTGTAATGATTTTTGGTACAAATATGTAGATATTTTTGAATTGATATGTATTATATATTGTACCTATCTAACTATTTAAAGTAGATATGTACTAATATACTAAGTACGAACTATTGAAGTTAGGTACAGATATGTATAATATTCTGAAAAAATTTTGATGTAGCAGCTATTTTGAATAACCATCAATCTATAATAAACTAATGCACTGATACTTGTGAATTAGTTTATTCATAATTATTCAGTTTATTATCATTATTTTAACAAATCCATTGACTTCCGAATTCTGGTGCATATAATCTGTCTTCCGGTTTGCAGTTATCGACGTTAACAATATGTGTTTCATGAAATTGGATATATTTGTAACTACACAGATCTATTATTAATATATTTTAGTATAATTAATCGATCCTAGTACATTAGTAAGATAGTGATTTATTATCTGAACTGATTTGAGGTTCAAATTCACAAGATCATATAAAAAACTCGTGTTGCATAATTCCGGAATCATACTATGTTGTTCATCAATTATTGTTGCATTAACAATTTTACGACTGTTTTTATTGTTATTATCATTTTTGTTGTGTTGTGTCAATCATCCTTGAATAATCGTAATATTGGTACCTACTCAGAGTTAATTCATTAATATATAATGATATTATATAATTCACAAAGAATAAAATAATTATAGTTATTTTAAAATAAATTAAAATTGGTTGTATAATAAGACAATTAATATACAGAATAATATAATAGGTAATAATAAAACAACGAATACAATCTAAAAACCTATTTAAAGTATTACAATCTGAAGTTTAATCTATATTAGATTCTAATCTAATAATAAATGCTCTAAAAATATGTATTCGTGACCAATAAAGTTTAAAAATTGTGACCGAAAAATGATATTTAGTCAAAATTAAAATAATTATTTATGTAAAAAAAAAAAAAATGAATTGTTTTTATAATTGATAATATCTTTAAGATAGTATTATTCTAGAATCCAGAGTCTGGTATTATAATGTTTGTTTAAATAAGATATTAATTGAACTGTTATAAAATATCTAACATGTTTTATTACCTAATACAATGCTTCGGCTTATTATTAATACTTTGTATCCAATTTATAAAGCAATTAGAAAAATGTATAATTTAATAGAAATTCGTTGATTATTATTATTGATTACACGCAAAGGTAGGTACTTACAACAATGTTTAAAAATAATAATAAGCCTGTTGAAATAATTAATTTGCTAATTCTTCAATCATTCAAATAATTTAACAATTTTCATTTATTTGTATATTATAATTAATGACTTCACTAACACGTACAATTATACACTAATTTACAGGAGGAACTATGAATATATTAATATTCATTAGATCAATGTTTTCCTAAAGATTTGAATCTAATCTAAATTAATATTGTTACGAAATTTGTTTTGGGTTCTTTGAATTTGATAACAACATATATACTCTCGTCTCGTATATCCTTGTAATTGTTTTAGGTTCTTCAACAGAAAGCGTCTTATCTTTAAGAGCTAACAACATTAAAGTTTATGACCTTTTATAATGAAAAGTTACTAATTATTTCCATTAAAATAACGTAAGATTTAATTAGAAACGAACAGAATATTTCAAAACAAAGTTTTAGTTTAATTTGAGCTTAACAATATATATATATTTTTTTATAAGTTTGACTATTGTTTAACATGTTAAGATATATACATGAATAACACGTAAGCAAGCAGTTTCAAGAAATTGTATAATATTAAATGGAGTGTAAAATAATGATGTAAAATAATGACTGATAATATTTAACTGCCAATCATATAAGACGTGTGTATTTTATCGAAATCAAATTTTTATATTGAACTTATATGATTAATAGATTATGGTAACATAAAATGTCGTTCGAATTGTATGATAGATAATCAACAAAGATTGTCAGAAATAATAATGAATACCAAAATAATAATAAGAATAACCCTAGATCTTTAAACCGTTAATCATTTTAGTATCTCATTCCGTTTAGTATTTTTTTTTACGTTTCATTTGATTTATTGTTATTAAAAAAAAACGGTTTTGTCCGTTACCTACCATTGTACACAAACAAATCACTAGACTCTTGTGTGTTTAATGTATTGAGTAAAAAACCGGATTGCCAGCAACAGACACATTAAAATATTAAAAGAAACATTTTTCATCGTGCGTGAAGGGTGTAAATAAAAACCATTTCTTTGTTAAAAACTGTCGAGATAAAATGATAAGCATAAAATTAGTCTTGAAATTACGATTGCAGTATTTAAAAGAGATTAGGTTAATAAATAATATTATGATAAAAACAAGCATTTAAAAGAAATAAAATGTGGTAAAATGTAAAAATAACTAATAAGCTCCATGAAAAAAATGTGATAACAGAAATAAAGATTTTTCAAACACTTATAATTATTAGTTACAATTTTATAAATCAATATAGGTACTTTTATACATAAATAAATACATTGAATCATGGGAAGATAAAATTTAAGTTCATAAAGTTTAGAATGAATACAATCAATTTCAGTTTTACAACTGTTATTGTTCAGTGTATACCTATTATAGCCTATAGGTACTGTATATTGTGTATGTTTTTAACATTTAATTTGAATTAAAAACACTTTTATTGCTAATATATTGGGTTACTATAAGATATGTATGTCTTTATAATTTATTTCAAAGATTCAATAATAAGTAATTTTATATTTATGTACAAACTATATTTTTAAACTCATTGATCCTATTTTTTAAATTTATTTAAGCTATATTTAATCTATTAAATTATTTATATTTTATTGAATATAATCACTAAAAATAGACAGACTGTATAACTCATGTCTCGTAGTTTTTTAAAGCAGCTTAAAACCTAAGTTTTTAATTTTCAACCACATAACCGCATTCAGTGGCGTATACAATAGTTTCTTGGAGGGGGGGGGGTTAAAATGTTTAGAAATTATATTTGAACAATTAAGATACCGCAGTGATGTTTCCCACCGAAATAACGCAACTGTCTAAATCGTTCTATTATCAGAAACTCCATAATAAAAACGATATTGATTTAACATTGAGAAACTCTTTTTTTTGTTTTCTGGGGGGGGGGGACGAAACTCGGATCCCCCAAAAACTGAAAAAACCCAAACTGCTGCTTGATCGAGAGTGTATAAATAATAAATATTGTGGTCACTCTCGCGTTTTTATCTCATATGTGTACCGCGGTCACCGGAATTATAATGCGGTCGAAGCGACAGAATGTATACCACGGACGAGGTGACTGCCGTCTATTATAATAATTAATAGGTTACCGACTGGGTAACCGTGATTATTTCAGTTGTTCAGTTCGAAATGAAAACTGTCTCCGACAGTTTTGTATTCACCGCGTGCTTTGAAGATCACCAAGCTATACTGTCCGGTTTCTAACGATTCTCTATCGTTTTTGCACTGTCGTTGACGAGACCCCATAAAGTTTTATGCGGTGTTACAACATTTCGTAAAAGGAATTTATTGCACAGTTTACAGTTATGTGTATGTTTACGAACTACATTACTATAGTGAAGTAGTGACTATAATAATTCACTGTACCTATAATTATAATTAATAATATTTAAGATTATTTTTCACGCAGTAATGTACTTCCGTGTTCTATGATTATTTATATTATGTGGTTGATTACGATTAAGTCGTATGTGCGTTTAACACGTATGATTTAGCATTTAAACCTCGATTTAAACGTTGTTCAAATTTTGAATTTAATTTTATCTACGATTCTTATGATTTCCTATTTAATGTCATTATATATTATAATAAATTATTATAATGTAATTCATTTTTCGATTTAATGTTATGATTTATTTTTATTTGTCACTGCACGATTTTTTATTATAAATTATACAGTATCATTGATTATATATCTAGGGTTAATTTTTTTTCATCATTCGTCGGAAATAAAATTATGAACACGCTGTAGTCTTTTTTGTAATGAAGTTATGTAAAACTAATATGTTAAAAAAAAACTTAAAGATATAATATTTTTATTCATATTCATAAAAAAATATATTTATTTCATCGCAATACATATTTTAATTCATTAAAATACATAGGTAATTTATGTATATCTATATGCTTATCTAAAAGGTTATTGATATTTGAAAACGTTTAATTCATATTATAGAATGTATAGTATATACAATATATATATAGCCATATAGGTACCTAAATGCTTTAATGGTATAGATGACTGTCAAGAACCAACTTCGAGTATATAATGGTGTTCTATAATAGAAGTACATAAAAACATTTCTAACACCGTTGAAGAAATAGATGACAGATTGATAGATATATTGGCAAAATAGTAAAATAAATTTAATATTAAAATTTAATTATATTAGTAAACAATATTTATAAAGTGTATTGATATGTTTAGGTATTTTTTTTTTATTTATTGATTAAGCATCTACTACAAAGATATTAGCTTTAAAAAGAGTATTAAGTATTTTTATAACATTTTATACATCTAATTTAAAACGTCTATTTTTTGTAAATAGGATTGGTTTTATCCCGCACTGACCTCAATAAGTTATGTATACATGCCCGTACTTCTATGGAGAGGGTTAAGGATCCAACCCCGCGAAATTATGTTCATATACATACTATTACATAGATATGTAACTCCATAGATTCCTGTATTTAGTATACAAATGTACAGTGTATTATAAAAAATTAATTTTTATTTTTTGGTTACGTTCCGTATTATGTTTTTATGATAGATCGTCTTAAGTTTTATGATCATTTTATAATTACGTTTAAGATATTTTTATTCGTTTTTCCTCAATGTTATCGGTACCTTAAAGTTTTTGATTCATAACACTGTAATCTAATTTATTTTATAATATTATACCCATTTAATTGATGAAACGTAATCAAATGTTTAGCATTGAATGGCGTTTTAACTGACGATGTATTAATTGCGAGTGTCTGTTTGATCCACAGCTGCTGATCGTCCGGGAACAGGACACTGCGATTCTGTCGTCTGTCCGGGATTTGACACTGGCCAGTTGCGGCTTCGTGTCGCTGCCGTCGTCTGGGCTGTCAAGCTCGACTTCGCTGACCCGCGTCACGGTGCGAGACATGAAACTGTTCCACTACACGGCCGGCTTGTTCCCTGCACTGGAGAGCCTGTCCGTCGAGGACGTCGGCGAGTTGGTCCTCGACGGTTTTGGGCCAGCTAACCGGACGCTCCGTCACCTGACGCTCCGACGCACCAACGTGCTCAGGCTGGTCAAGGGCACGGTGACAGCGGCTGCACCACTTCGCCGGGTTCTGTTCGACCGGGTGGACGTGGACGAGATAGAATCTGGAGCGTTGGACATGTCGTTCATCAGTGACAGCAACAACGGTCAACAAGCAGCCGCCGACGGGTTCACGGTCGTCGATTCTACGGTAATCATATATACATAAATGATCATGACTCATAGCTTCTAAAGAGRATTGTTAATATCACGATGATATGCTCTTAAAAACATTAATATAAACACTTGAAATTAATATACACTCAGAATATTAAAATATACGAAAAAAAATAGGAAGTATAAAAAGAAAAAAATAATGAAGAAAATTGTTGAAACTTTTAAAAGGTATAAAAAGTATTGAATGATATTTCATCAGAACTGCTTATTGTGCTATGGTACTCAAATGTTTTTAAAGTTACTGGTATGGACACAAAAAAGCAAAATAGCATTTAAAATATTGCAACATAAAATTTCGAATCTATAGTTTCTTGGATTTCTATATGATAAAGTTTTAGCTCACATATATGCATCTCTATAAGACCTCTCAAATATAATATGCGATTGCTAGCAATTATGAACCCAGTTAATGATTAATATAAAAATTATTAAAAACCATCGTTGTTTTTACTAGGTACCTAATATATATTTTTTTCATATGATGTGATGAAATAAATGAATATAGGAATTATAATGTGCGCTTTTGTGTATGCAGCTCGCCCTCTCCAAAGTTACGTATATCTTTAGATCTTACTCTTAAAATAAAATAAAAGGTTCCCATTAAAAGACTAATAAATACCTAATATAAAAATGAGATGAACAAAAAATAAATATTTTCAAGAGGATTTTAGATTGTTTTCTCACGACTCACTTATTATATTGATATAATAGGTGCTTTTAGTGGCGTATATAGGATTATGAAATAGTGGAGGAGGGGGTTGATTAAGTATAAATTTAAACAAAGTTTATTACAGTTCCCATATACATATATAGTATAAATGAAACATTTATTAGCGGAAGGGGGTGAGAAATATTGATTTTATGAATGTATGAGGGGCCAGTTTAAAATTACGTGTCTAATGAGGAAATGTTGTTGTAAAAATTATTTTTATCTATTACTTCTTTCTTTTGCGATACTACAATTTTTTTGGGTACCTATAGAATGTATATATATATATATAGAATTGTGAGCTGTTCTTAATAAATGATAATATATTATCGCAAAATCCTGATACCTGAGTAAAAATAAACTCTTGAATTTCACTAATGCTAAGATAAACTAACCATATTACTCATATTAAGTACATACTTGCTGACAAGATGATGTCAGAGGTCTAAGGTAACTTACTTATAAGGTTATTAAAACCTAGGATCCACAATTATTATATTAGTTAAAGCAGTATAAATCAGCTATAACTGAAAACTTATTCAAATTCAAATATAATTATCGTTATTAGCAATCATACATGGTATCGTAATACTATTACAATATTATACAATATGACCGGTCATTTTCAGTATCAGGCACACAGTGTTCTTCTATCAATAGAAATTACTGTTATTCAATAATTATTTTATGTTTTGGCTGCTTGGAATTTAGTTTGAACTTCACTATTGATCAACAATATTTTATGAGTGAAAAAAAAATGACATTATTTCTTTTTATTATTCATGAAATGATGTGAAGTATCATAATAGTTATGCTATTTGCGCATATAATAAATAATTTAATTTTACTAGGTATCTATATTTTTTTATTTTATTAATTTAGATGTATAATTATATATTTAGTGTTTGTATATCAGTATATGTATTTTGATAATCATCACCATAAATTATCAGTGATTTGATAAAAAAAAGATACATCGAAGCTTCGTAAATAATTATCTTTTTCTAAAAAATAGTTATTATTTAACAACTAAAAACATAATTTATAGTAAGTTTCTGTGAAATGTTGAAACTTTTGGCTAATATGTAACTTATGAAATTATTAATTCTATTATTTGTATTTTTTTTTATTAGTTTTTAGATGTTTTGTGATACCTATACTTTATAGTTTTTATATTTTAACAGGGGCGGACTGGCCAGGGGGGCTAGGGGGAAATATCCCCTTGGGCCGGTCTAAATTATGAAATTTGGGCCGGTCGTCGAACAATAAACTTGTAATATATTTAGTCAATAAAACATTCATATTGTTTACAAAATCACAACTGATAKAGTAATAATATAGTAAAATATTTAGGGGTGCTAAGCTGTATTTCCCCCTGGGCCGACAATCTCCCAGTCCGCCCCTGTATTTTAACATGCTTTTTTTTAATTTAAATAGTTTTACTCTCTAAAAACCACAAAATTAATTTATTTTGGTATACTTAGGATATTAAAACGTGTAATACAAACTATGAATATTTTTGTTCTTTATGCCACTACAATTGATAGCATCAAAATGTATGAGTTATTTTTTTTATCTTTGTGTGCCGAGGATAATTTTTTAAATTTATAAATTTATTTGTTAAATTAATCTTGATGGTATATTGATTTTATGATGAAAACAGTGTTTAAAACAACGTCATTTTATCATTTATTTGTGTTTTAGTAATAAAAATCAATTATTACTTACAACATTCATTCAACATTTTGAAATAATTGAAACGAGTCTTAAATTTTAAAAAAAATAGAAAAAATAACGTTAGCTTTACTGATATTGAAAAATAACAATAAAAATAAATTGAAAATATTGTATAGGGAGGAAGATGGAATACTGGAATACAGTTATTATCGTACATGCTGAATATTAATATTCCGCATTTCTTTACTACCTATCTACGAAACATATTTTATTTGCATTTTAAAAAACGTCGTGTATCCGATATTTCCGAACTTTTTTGTACTGCACACACGATAAATTGAAACCACAACCTATATTATATACATACTATTACATAGATATGTATATATATATTATTTTATTTTTGTATCCGTCATGACTTTTGGTACAGTAAAAATACTTTGATTTTAGATTTTGAGTGTGGTCTCTGGTAGAAAATGCGATCTGGTTAAAAGGGGTGTCAAAAGTAAACAATTTCTAAAACTTTAACAAAAAAAATAAAAAAAATATACAAACTAAGGAAACACAGAAATGCCGACGTATTTATCATATTTTATTCACACACTGATATTTTAAAATGAAATGTTATCGTCAAAAATTATTTTGATCTACTGTATTACTAATTCAAAAACAAATCACTATAATACCAATATTAATATAATATCATTAAATACACCTAATTATAGTAATATAGGCTAACTCACAATCGTATTTTGTATGCAATGATTTATCATTGAATTCAAATTCAACATATATATCACAGCAACTTAATCTTCAATGAAAACTGAGAAGGAACATTCGACACCCAAAATTGTAGATCAAAACGATTATTATATCGCCTTATGAGCCTTATGAGCGTTTGAAATTTAAATTTATACAACATTGGATTTTCACTAGATTTCTCATTTAGTGATTTTCTTATTTTGGTGGTTCAAAACAAATGACCACAGATACTTGAAATTTTCACTAAATGTTTATGTATGCATTTTCCATATTTGATAAGGTTTTCAAAATATTTTGATTTGTTTTGAGCTGTTTACTGACATCTTAATTTTTCAACTTTTTTAGTTTTTTTTTCTATTAATGTCAATAAAATTTTAKTGGTTGGGTCAAAAAGCTTCAAAATTTAATATGAGGCTTCCTTCGTATTGTTCAATAGAAGTTGAAAAATATTAATCTTACATTGGCACGATTTTTTTTTTATAAGCTTTTAAAGTTCATAGGTAATATAGTTTAGTTATATAGTAAGAGTAATAGTTGTATAGTAATAGTTTCATTTAATATTTATTTTGACTAAATACCTTCTTTGGGGGGTTAAAAGTAAAAAAATCCCAATAATTTTTTAATAATTGGGATAGACAAACTAAAAATTAAGAAAAAAACGGGGATTTTTACGCACAATCAATTTTCGACAAAATCGATTTTGGTTATTGATGTAACCTTAAAACAAATGACCATCGATACATGAAATTTTCGCAAATGTTTATATAAATATAAGTATATTCTTTTCACCATGAAATTTTCAAAAGAATTCGAAGTTGAACTATTTATAGGCATATGCGATTTTCGATCATTATTAGTTTTTTTTTAAAATTAATATCGATACAAATTTATTTGTTAGGTAGAAAAGCTTGAAAAATTTAATAAAAGGCTCCTAACATACTGTTACAATAGCAGTTAAAAAATAAAAGAAACTCATAGTCACATTTTTATTTAATAAGCATTCAAAGTTAGAATTTTTTTTTTAAAATCTAAGATTTGAAAATATTTAATAATCTATAATATATCCTAGACAGATAAACCGTCTTCGTTCAGAATCGTTTTTCATATACAATGATACCTATCATTGCATTCAAATCTAACCTACCCTAGTCAGAGGTCCACCATACCACCTAATGTATAGTAGAGCGATACCCACTTTCCCGCTTTTTTTGAGTTACATATGAATTGCGTCCCAGAATTTAAAATAAAATTAATTATATGTATGTAATTATATTTTATTATGTTATAATATGCATGCATTTATGCATTGATTTTCATTCAAATATGCAAAAATATGCAAACAAAAATGCATGTTAATTTAATTTATTTAGTTTAAAATAACAAATATATATTATAATTAATTAAATGAGTAATATGAACAGCAAAATTTATTAAATATCTATTTGAAATAATTGATGTATACCTAATGTACTTATTTAGCTATGTATTTTGTATGAAGTAGGATGTTGCATTTTAAACCTTCACTCATCTAAATGAAAAGTCATGAACAAAAATAAATTAAGTATATTTTATAATATTTCAAAATTACCATAATATAATATCATTGGATTTAAATTTAATTCCCTCCATTACTTTAACCCATTTGTAACCTATTATTCAGCAGAGCGACACCCACCACGACTAACCAGCTTTTTTTTTTATTGAAAATATGTTTTATTTGTTTTTATACATTTCGCTGTTATTCAGTTTTTGTTATTGATTCAATATTGTGATAAAAACAAAATGTAAATTTAATTAATAATATTAATAATATTTCAGGAAAAATA